TTCTAGATCTAGACTCTCTGGTTCATCCGATTTTTTTTCATCACTTTCCAATTTTCCTTGTGGGCCCCCACCAACTCTCGTTTTGGTATCATATCCTAATGCCACAGGAGTCATAAATTCCCGCCGTCTTGGCCGCCTAGTCAAGTATTTAGCCGAAGTTGCTCGCATTAGCTTTGAGCCACCGGATGAGAGAAATTGCGAAGCAGTTGGTCGAAGAGTCCGCATGATCACAAGAAGAGTCATAACTTTGGTACTTCTCCATAATCCTCTAGTTGCTTTATTTTTAAATTTTAGTTTTTGTACCTCTGTTTTTTTCATTCTTGTATGTGATCACTAGTCTTAATCATTATTATTTTCTTTGATAAGATCTTTGGCTTTTGTTTCCATCCCTCTATTTAAAAAATGTGATTAACCAATTTTTTCATATTTTTCTATATTTAGCTCGAGGAACCTCGATGTGGTCCGGTTTACTTGGTCGGCTTTGGAGTTGGTTGCCTCTTAGCCCTGATCGCCTGCATGCATCTTCACCAGGCCTTACTTCCTTCTAATCCAAATATGCAAGGCGGCACTTCGGTCTTGACTCATTACCAGCGTAATCAACCGTTTGTTCATCCAAAAACACTAAATCAGACTTCAACCAATCCTGCCAATGCAAGTAGGTTAAGATAAAGATATTCATATATTCATACTTTATCTCATTTTTAATTTACATGTATGAGTAGTATATGAACTATTTTTTATTCCCACTTGTACACATTGTGCCCGTGTTAGAATCAGGCCAATTTAATTGGCAAGATTGAACCTATGCTTTCTTCCTCATTAAGATAACTGCTTATGCGATGAGTAAGTTTGCTATTGGATAATTTAAGTTACTTACACCTTGCAAATTGTTAAAGCTCTTAGGGTGATCTTCGATTGTCTATTGATCTTTGAATTATCTTATGTTAGACGTTTGGCAACTATGACCTGGCCAGAGACCGTTTGATGAAATAGAGGATGTGTGTGTGCTTAGTTGTGTATTTGAGGCATCTCGCAGTGACTGATGTTCAGAGATGAGGTTGGTAGGGTGACCAAGTATCGGGACCTTACATAGTAGATCCGTCGGGAACTTATGCTTATGTATTGGCGAGCTGGTGTGTGAGATCAGATGTCGACACAATAAAGGGTGCTTTTTTGTTGCTCTCTTTTTAAACTTTCTTCACATTAGCATGCACACACGCGATTCTTCAATTCTACCACATTGGCTTATTATATTAAGCAGGTCATTTAAGAGGTATCATTCAGATGACGGAAACATTACGCAATATACCAGGTATAATAATCTTACTGTGGTGATTTTTACACGGTACCAGCTTGTGTCTGATGAAGACGTCGGAATCTTTACTCGTTAATCTTGCTAGTCGCGAATATGCACCGCTCCCATCTCATTTTGTTTCATATAAGTTGCTTGTGCTACGGCCTCCTCCTGCTGGGTCGGAAGCTATAACATTGTAGGATTTAGAATAACGTTTACATAGGTATATCATATGTTCTATTTAATACAGCCAGAGAAAATAACGAGGGTCTCGATGTCCTATCGCCATTTAAAGATTAGAAGATTAATTTCTGAACCTGTGCTGATATGATAACTTAGATTTTATCACTTTCCATAAACAAAGAGAAAAAGGCGACACAAAATGGATATCGTAATCGTTGTCCTTTAAGTTTGCCTTGTTGCTAGTTTTTTTTGCCTGCGGAAACTTGGGTGCTTCTATGATTGCTATGCCATGTGAACGAAAGAATAGCTAGGTGTATTGCAAGGGGATCTTCCGTACAAGGCATGAGAACTGAGTTTGCGCTTTCCCAGGAGCGAGCGTGTACTGGACCTGGATTTTGGGGGTAGACGTTGAAATCTACCGTCGTCCACCATTAGAGAACTTGATCAGGTATCGCATGGTTTGGTTTAAA